ATTGCATAAGTATCAGTGTCTGTTATTCATTGCTTCTAGAGTGTTTTTTATGTCAGTGATTGCATTATCAATTTTTGATTGAGTCTTTATTATAATTTCTAGTCCCTTGTTAAACTGATCTGCGCTTGGATCTACTTTCTTAATTCAGTTAGCATTTTTATTACTGACCTTTTGTATTCATTGTCTATAGACTGATTATCTCTGTTCCATTATTTCAAGGATTTTCTCTTCATATATATAGAATTTAGAAAGATGATAACAATGACCCTATATGCGAGACAGTGAAAGAGACACAGATGTAAAGAACAGACTTTTGGACTATGTGGGAGAAGGCGAGGGTGGGATGATTTGAGAGAATATCATTGAAACATGTATATTATATGTGAAACAGATCGCCAGTCCAGGTTGGATGCATGAGACAGGGTGCTCAGGGCTGGTGCATTGGGATGACCCTGAGGGATGGGATGGGGAGGGAGATGGGAGGGAGGTTCAGGATGGGGAACACATATACACCCATGGCTGATTCACGTGAATGTATGGCAAAACCCACCACAATATTGTAAAGTAATTAGCCTCCAATTAAAATTAAAAAAAAAAGGATTTTCTCTTGCTCTTTCGATTGAGAGTTATTCCTCTGCCTTTTCGTTTTACTTAACTTTCTCTGTCTCTGTGAATTTAGGTGGAACAGTTACATGTTGTGGTCTTGAAGGGGTGTTTTTATGTGGGAGCATCCCTGTGTGGACAGTGTGTGCTGTTTTTGGTGTGAGGGTTGAACTTGATGTGAATGCCAACCCCTGTCTTTCCTCAGGATGTGCTGAGAACTGTCACCTTGATAGTGGGTGTGGCTGGTGTTGGAGGAGCCAGAGACTGTTCATGGTGTGAGGAGAGACTTCCTGTCTGCTCTCAGGCTGCTGGCGTGAAAGCCCTGAGCGTCAGGCTGGAGCTGGCTCTGTTCCCTTCAAGTGTATATTTTTCCTTCTCTCCGCCCTGCAACCTCTCCCCCAAAGGATGTGAGTGCTGAAGTAGGGTTGGTGTGCTTGCAGAGTCGATGGCTGCGTGTGTAAGCATCTGCCGTCCTGCTCAGAACCAGATCAGAGATGTCTTTACCCTGGCTGTGGTCTCAGCTCTAGTGTAAGGCTGTGGCGCGGAGTGGGTGGGGCCGGCTTGGCAATCATGGTATTTTGGCTGCAAGGACTGAAGTGGCTGCAATGTCATCAGAAGCCTGGGCTGCTTCCACAGTGCTGTTTTGAGTAAGCACCTACAGTGGCCCAGGTCCCCTGGCCACCTCTGTGTCCTTCCATCAGATCTCTTCCCAGGATCTGGCTGTGCTAGATTCAGTGCCAGGCTGTGGTGTGGAGTGAGTGGGGCCAGTGTGCTCACTCAGCTCAAGTCAGGGGCTGTGGCAAGGTGGCAGTTATTAGGGCAGACTCTTCCTGCCCTGTCTGGTGGTGAGCCAGCACTGCCCACTCGTCACCAGTGGGGTCTAGGCTTCTCCAGCCTACTGTCTGTCCCAGTCATTCTCCATGCAGCCGTGGGGTCTGCTCCTGTCATTCTCCGTGCAGCCACAGGCTCTTGCGTCCTCTGCAAAGGACCCGAGGACTGGGACACCCAGTCAGTGTTTCAACCTGCCCACTCCCCAAGGTGAGTGTCCACCTGTGCCAGCTCACTTTTCCTCTTAGTCCCCTCCAAGGGCACAGGTCCTGACCCAGTGCTTTACTTCCCAGCCTTCCTGATTATGTGGGACTTTCTTCTTGCAGCCTTGGTTGTACAGGAGTCCTGCCAGTTTCCTGTTAGTTTCTGGTGAGGTTTATTCCACAGGTAGATGTACTTTTGATGTGGGGGGAGGTGAGCTCCATATCCTCTTATTCTGCCACCTTGACCCTCCTCCCATTCTTCCTTTCTGTCTCCTTTGCTTCTCTCGTTCTCTCCCTTTCTCTACTCAGAGAACACTGGTACCTGATGTCCTTTGTCATCTGTACCCCAGAAGTCTGTGGAGCTAACAGGAGTCTTATGCATACTCACCTGGGCTTGGACCCAACATCATCACAATCACCTGCTCCACACATGGATTTGGCTCATTTTGAACAATGTCCATGATGGCAGCTTTCATACATTCATTCAACAAATACTTTAATTAGAGGCTTGCTCTGTGCTCAGTCCTGGTCTGGGGTTACTGGGGTGAATGAGACAGATGGGGGCCTCTACTCTCATGAAGGTTAGCGAGGGGAGAAAGGCACGGGCAAATATACAAGGCAACTTCTGTGGTAAGTGCCATGAAGAAAAGAAAGCAGGGTGATGCAGGGAAAAATGACTGAGGTTGTCAAGGCAGACCTCACAAAGGGTGATGCTTGAGGCTTAGATAATCAGACTGCATCAAGGCACCAGGCAGGTTTCTTTGTTGAAAATAATAGGATCTGACTCTGGTTAATGTAAGCAGAAAAGGAATGTACTGGGAAGGTATCAGGTACTTCAGAGAATGGACGTGAGGCCTGGAAAATTAGGCCGGTAGAGAGGTGGTTGCTGAGAGAGGCACTGACCAAAATCATGCTTCACATGGCTCTTGTTAGGACCCAGCCACCACTGCTCTGGATACTGATCTTGAACCCTGGATCTGATGGCATGCCACCACCAGAGGGACCTCCAGACTGGACCTGATCATCGCAGACCACAGGTTGTTCATAGGTGAGGCGGCTTTAGCTCTCATCTCATGAGAATGCAAGCCACAGACTTTATAAAGTCCTCCTTGATCCAGTCCCCTGTCTCATATGCTCCCATCTACCTCTCTTCCCTTGCCCCAGCCTGCCCCAGTCCCACTGGTCTTACAATTCACACCAAGCCTACCCCCACCTCTAGGGGCACCGGCTTGTTCCTACGCTTGGAACACTTCACGTCTTCCAGAGTTTTCCCCGCTTCACCTCCTCCAAGTCTAAGCTCAAAGTCACCTTCTCTGGAGGCCCAGCTCACCTTCCTATTTAGGCCAACCTCCTCTGCCCACACCATCATCTTTTAACATACATTTACTGTTCATTGACCATCTTGCTGCGAATCTGCCCCAGGAGCCTAGACCAGTGTCTGGCCTTAGAGTTCACACCTGATGGCGGTTGGCCTAATGCTTTAGTGTTAGCAGTAGTTTTGGGAGGCATGAGTTGACTCCTGGTTCTGTCACTTACCAGCTGTGATTGCGCACAAAAATTTCCCCGTCTGTAATGCGGGCATGTACCTACAGAGGGTTCTTGGTGCAGAGTGAATGAGACAATGCAGAATAAGTCCCTGTTGCTCTCGTCCAGGAAAGACTCTCGTCCTTTCCTGCCCACCTATTCAGATCCACTAAGATGAGTCTTCCGAGCTCATATGATCGCAATGAATGTTTCCATTTACTTTGGATTATATGTCATTATAAATATTAACAAATAAGACTTAAAAAGGACACCTTCGGGTAAGTCGGACGAAAGTACAAAAATTGTGTGTGGGGGCTGCAGTTGCAGGACCGTTTCTGCAGTCGCCACATGATAGCAAAACGGTGGTAAGCAGTGCACGAGTCTGCGTCGAAGACAGCCAGAGTCCATGCATCGGGAGGTTCTGTCGGTTGGAGAAGGAACAAAGGGAGGACATGCGCGGGCCGGGAGATGCAGTTCCTCGCTCTCGCCACTAGAGGTCAGGAGGTTACCGCTTCAGAGTTGGAAGACGGGCCCGTCGGGAATTGGCTAGTAGTGGTGGGCGGGGCGGAGACTAGGTAGGAGGGTGGGGGGTGGAGATGGATGCCCCGTCCAGTGACCCGCTTGTTATTGACAGCTGACTTCGGAATGACTTTTTTTGGCGTCAAATTCCCTGTTTTTGTGGGGCTGATAGAGCAGAGGAAAGCCAGTTTGGGGTCAAAGGCAGAGCTGATACCGCAGCTTCTCAAAGCACTTTTTCTCTAACAGACATACAAGCTGTAAGGGGTCCAGAACAGATTCAGGGTCCTAGGGGTGGTTCTGTCACTCCCTGGAAGGCTTCCAGTCCAAGAGCCCAATCCCCTGCCTGGGCTAGCTGTCCTCAAGCCCCACCTCCAGCCTGACTGTCCCTGTGGTCAGCAGGGACCATTTTTCAGGACCAAGTCTGCACTTGCACAGCCTAGGGCGTTGGAAGGCCTTGGACTAGGTGCCCGGTATCCTGGGTTCTTATCCCGTGTGTCCTGAATAGGCCCCTTCTACTTGTGGGTCCTTGGTTTCCCCATGTGTCTAACAAGGAAGTTGTACTAGGTGAGGCTCTAGTATGCGTCTAACTTGGCCATTCAGCATTTCCATGTGTTTATAGGGAGTCTGTGAAGCCCCTCTCTGAATGAGAGCCCCCCAAAAGGCAATGCTAAGAAGACAGCCAGAGTTAACTCAGACACAAGGCTCCTCAAAATCAGACTCTGCCTCTCTGAATCTGCTTCCTCATCTGTCAAATGGAGATGGCAGTTAAACCCATCTCCCAGGCCTGTGACGATTCATCAAGATGGTGACTGTAAAAACCCTCAGCATGCACAAAGCCTTCTCAGAGAGGGAAAAGCAAGACTCCGTGACCAGCCAAGGTTACCAGGTACTGTGTGGGGGCTGGAGTCCTGTTTTCCCTGGAAAATGAAAACAGGCTGATGGGCACTTGGTGGGATTCATGTCATCTCCCGCCCCCAGGCCTCAGATGGTGACGCGCTTTGTGTCTGCAGCAGAGGGTCCAGCCCAGCGCGCCTGTGAGCCCTGTACTAGCGTCGGTGTGGGTGTGGTGTCAGAGCTCTGGGCCGGGGATGAGGCAGGGGACCTGGAAGGCCTCAGGCAGATCACTTTCCCTCTCTGGGCTCTGTTTTCCCATCAGTGCAGTGATGGGCTGAACTCAAATTCCTGGTTTCTGCATTTGTTCATCCAGGGTTCCTGAAGGCCCCTTGGTCAGCAGGAAGAGTTGGGGGCTTTAGGCCTGGGCCCCAGAGTCTTGATGCCCTCAATTCCTTCCTAGAGACCCTGAGCCAGGGTGCAGGGTGGCTCTCAACTCCTGGAGGGCAAAGCCAGCCATTCCCAGAAACAAGGCCCTGGATGCTGCTGAGTACTGAGAGGGATCTCAATAGGGATGGATGCAGAGGCAGCTGCTGGGGGCTCCCCCCTTTCCAACCGTGAACCCAGAAGGAAGGGCCTGGGATGGGGAGGGTGGAGGAAGGCAGGGAACTGAGGGTGAGGACAAGGAGGACTTTTGTTTTTTTTCATGCGAAGAAGTGACTCACTCTTCCTGACCACAGCTGACCTGATGCTTAAGCTGGTAACAACGAGAAGCAGGATCCATCCTCCAGCTTCCTCAGGAGGAGGAAGATCAAAGGTGGGAGAGCTGGGTCTGAGAACGGAACTTGACTCTGCCATCAACATCAGTTTAAGCCACTCCCCCCATGGCTACAAGCCCAGTTGGCCTGGCAGCTAGGGGTGGGATGCGGGAGGGCTGGCTGCCCCTGCCCCACTCCTATCAAATCCTGCCTCTACCCCATCCTCCCAGGAGAGACCCTGGATCCAGACAGTTTCTCCCTGGCCCATCATCTTTCCTCTCCATGCCTTGTACACCGTTTCCAGTGCCCTTCCTCCTCTGTCTGCCTAGAATCTCCACTCACTCTTCCAGGTCTTGCTGAAACATCACTTCTTCCAGGAAGCCCTCCCAATGGAGTCCACAGCATGTGTAGGTGGGTCAGGCTGGCCTTGGCATTCCTTATACCCCTGAAGTAAGGGTTTGTTTTTAGCTCCATAACTAGACGGGGACCTCCCTGAGGGCAGGCTCTGGGTCTCATTCTTCCCCAGGGGCCTGCAGAATCATTGAGTGAAGAAGCACGTGCCCTTTGCCCATGTTCTCGGGGAGCTCCAGGATCTTCACCAGACTCCTGGCTCTCAGGTGAACTTTTTCCACCCACCTAGTCGTGCCAGAGGCGAAGTCAGAACCTCCTTTAGGGAATGGACTTTCTTCAGAGTCCTGTCCTACCCAAAATCTCCTTTCCCTACTGCCCCTCTGAGCCTGGGGTCCCCTCCAACTCACTGCTGACCTCTGGAGGGTCCCTGTCCTCTGGATGGCCCCATCTACTTCCTCCGGGTGGGTACTGAGGTCCTCTTCTTCCGCCTAGCCCTCTTGGGCCTCAGGGGGCTGAAAGCAGGCCCAGCTCACAGCCCCCACTATCCCTCGGAGGGGCTGCAGTGGCTCTGTGTCCGAGCAGGTGTCCTGGATCTCCCCCGACGTGGGGGCCGAGGCCCTGAGTGACAGCCGAGGAAGCCCAGGGCCAGGCCTGCACTGGGCCAGGCAGTAGGCAGGGGTGGGTGCGGCGGGCAGGCGGGGCGGGTCAGTCGCTGAGCACGGCCCCCGGGAGCTCGTTGGTGAGTGTGTGCCAGCGCTCTATCCTCTTGTCCTTGTTCTTCAGGCAGTCAAACCAGTGCTTCAGGCGCTCTCCCTTGGCGTTGATGCCCAGAACCACGCCACCTGCAGAGGGGAGCCCGGGACACTTGACCTATGACTCTCAGGGTCCCTTGGGAACAGTGCCCCCAACACCCTCCCAGGCCCTGTGCTGCAAGGCCAGCCTATCTACCTTACCCACCTGCTCAGAGGGTAGACAGTGCTCTGACCACCACATTCTTAGACCCTCTTACTGTCCCCCACCCCCCTAATCAGGGCCCAAGGATCCTATCCTGCCTTTCCTTTCTCCAGGACCAGAGCAGTTCTGGTGGGCAGCTCCACCATGCACAGCCACCCAGCCCACCAGGAATCTGGGGCCCCAAGGACTCAGAGTCTGGCCTAGAAGGGCTGACTGTCATCCACCCTTTCCCCTGCTCTACCACAGACTGCTATGTGACCCCTGCCAGGCCTGTTCCTTCCCCTGTCACACAGGGTCAGGCTGCACTGTGGCCTGATTCAGGACTCTGCCCTAGGACTGTCACGTTGCCCAACAGCATTCCCATTATGGCCTCTCACCAATGAAATCGTTGGATTTTCCAATGTCATAATCCCAGACGGTGATCTCCAGGGTCTTCTTGGCCAGGTCCCCATGCTTAATCTCGTAACAGAATTCCTGGTGGGCAGAAGGGGAGTGTTGGGGCCAATGCCACAGGGCCTGGAAGTCAGCCGCTGGCCAGGGTGCAGTAGTTGCTGTGACGGACTCTCGCCCATCTCACCCACTTCTGAGAGCCCGGCTGAGATCCTCGGGGGCCCCCTTCCCTCCGACCGCCTGCCCCTTGGTCACTGAAGCTGCCTTTTTCAAGATCCCAAGAGGCCCCTTATCGCCAGGTCAGTGCACACCAGGCGGCCTGGGCCGCTCTTGGGTCTGACCCTGCTGACCACTCCCTTCTCCGTGGAACCTTCTCTCCCGTCAGCTTCCACATCCAATGACCCCCTGGCAGCACCTCCTCGGCCTGAGGACCTGAGTCACTCGGGCTCCTCTCCCTCGTCTCGCTCCTCTGAGCTCCTCTCCAGCTGCACCCACCCTCTGGGCTCCTGAGACCCACATCCCCCATGGCTACCAGTCCTATCAATTCCATCCGCTGAAGAGGTTTGCAGGCCTCCCCCTCCCTTCCGTCTGAACCTCAGCCTGGTTCAGCCTGGCCTCACTTCTCCCACGACTCCCCCACCTCACGGCTGGGGGCTCTCCTGTGGGCCGCTTCCCACCCTCCAGCTCCCACAGTGACCCCTGGAAAACTCAGTCCCCCCAGGGGAGAGGGAGTGGCTTTCCCATGGCTTCACCAGCCCCTTGTACCTCGTTGAACTCTGGGTTCAGGGTTTTCTTCTTTACTGCTGTCTTGTGTTTGGATTTCTTGTCCACATCTGGCTTCAGGTATCTGGAATTATAACCAACAGGTAGGCAGAGGGTGAGACGAGGCTGTGAGAACGCACGGAGCCCCCAGGGCTTGGAAGAGCTTTGTCCCAGGAGCGAGACTTCTGTTCATTCCTGATGACCAGCCGTGGTGCGCTGACCAGAGTAGGCAGTGTAGTGAGAGAAGCAAGTGGGTCATTCACCCTGGACCTCTGTTCACAGCCCACTCCTGACATCACAGAGCCCCCTCTGTTCCCCGAGGAAAGGGGATTTTCCTGATTTCTGGAAGTTTTAATTTTCACAAAGCTCACATTTCCCGCCAGAAAAACATTTTTAGCAGAGTTGGTCCCTTGCTAGAGCTTTTCTGTTTTTAATAGCAGATTACAGAGATAAGAAAGATGCATTTTTATAGCATGCAAATTCTAAGTGTATAACAGTGGTTTTTAACCTAGTCCCTGGGATGTGTCACTGCTGCCTCACTGAAGCTTTGGGAAGGAAAAAGGTCTTCTGGGCATTGGCAACAGTGCTTCCTGCAGAGAAAAGAAATCCCTGCTTGCAGAACAGCAGTCTTCATCTGGGGCTCAGAGAGGTGCAGGGACTTCACCAAGCTCACAGAGCTGCTCGGCACAGGCTGGTGCTCAGCAGCCAGGCGCCCTCATCTGCGGAGCCGCTCACCCTGTCCCTGCACCGACACTAGAATCTGTCTCCCCCACCACCAGCTTCCTGGTGCCCAGCACCAGGTGGGATCAGCACAGAAAGTGGGATCTCACTGTTGCCTTTCTGTGCACTTTTTAAAGAAAGTTGTGATAGTAATTATGTAAGTCATACTGGTTCATTACAGAGACACTGGAAAATGTGTACTGACAAAAGTTGGGTGTGGGGAGAGAAATGAAGACATAGGTCTTCACAAAAACCTGTTCTTTAGCAACTTTATATAGCCATCAAAAATCGGATGTGACCCCACCCCCGTGCACTTCTAGAGGAAGTGATCTGACAGATGTGTGTTCAGCAGTACAGACCTACAGACTGCACTCCGGGTGCACACACCACATGGCGGGCTCTGAGTTGCATTAGAAGAAAGTCTGGAAAAGGCAAAACTATTGTGACAGAAAAATCAACAGTTGCCTGGGGCACCTTTCTGGGGCCTTGGTATCTGTGTCTTAACTTAAGTGGTGGTAACGAGACTATATACGTCAGTCCCACGGCAAGAGGGAGAAACCTGGGTGTAAGTTATACCTCAATAAAGATGGCTTTTTAAACAAGTGGGGGTTCCCATAAACCCTGACCCAGAGATGGTGAACTCCTTCAGTTCCTTACAAGCCTCCATGTTTCTTGACTCATCTTTCTTTGCCTGTTTGGTTTGGGGGCGAAGAGGGATGGGGGTCCCGGGCTGTGGGAGCGTCTCCCAGCCCCGCCTTCGGAGGCCCCTGAAGGGAAGCTGTCCTGGGCTCCCCACGCCCTCAGCACTGCGCAGCCGGTGCCCATCTAGAGACCCTCACGCGACCCAGGGGCCGTCCCCTGTCCTGCCCCCAGGCCTTTGTCTGTGCTGGCTCCCGGAGGGAGGGCGGCCCGGGTGGGCGAGGAGCACTCCCATCGGTGGCTGCTCGCCCTCCCTCGCTGTCAGGGCCCCTCCTGCCCTGGCTACCGGGCTCCTGGAGTCCCTACCAGTGCCGCCTTGGCTATTCTGCACCAGGACTACTGCTCTCCCGAGGCCGCTGGAGAAGGTAACAGAAGGGCCGTGTAGAAAGGTCCGTGAGGCCTAGCCCAGCCCTGGCACCCAGCAGTTACTCAGGACGTGTGATGACTGTTAACCATCATCAGCCCCGGAAGACAGGACTTGGGGTCAGCGTCTAGCCTGGGGGGACTGAGGCAGCTGTCGTCTGGGATGAAGTTCATAAAAAATAAGGGTGTTGACAGAAGGCCTTGTTCCATCTAGCTCTGCCCTTCAACATCCTCTGCCTGGCTCTTCCCTGTGGCCCCGGGTGCTCTGCTCAGCATCTCAAACCTGTGCCTGTTATCTCCCCTAGTCTCAGCAAGGAGGAGGCCCACGGTCCGTGAAGGGGCCTCTCAGAGATGGGGAACCCTGAGCAGCTGCCCCCTGCATGTCACCCAGGGAACTTGAATCAGATGGAGGTGTTTCTAGGCCACTGGGAACCTCCCTCTGCTCCATGGGGCCACCCACAGAGCTGCCTCTCCCTGGCCCTAGGGGGTGGCTGGCCCTTCCACTGTAGCCAGTGAGACCCTGCTTTCCGGGTAACCCAGCCTGAGACCCTGGAATTCCTATCAACTTGGCCGGTGGGCACTGAGCCGTTTTAAAAACTTGACACCACCCTGGCTTCAGATCCCATTTTCTTCCCTAGGAAAGATAGCATCACAGATACAAGTGGACGCACGTCCTCCCTCCCCAGAGACCATCCCTACAGGGTCAGGCTGCATGCTCCACTCTCCCTCTACAGTCTGCTCTGGGCTTGGCACGCTTGGCATAGCTGTCCTCGTTAATCCACCCAGTCCTCATTCACTTCAAATGCACAGTACTCCTCTGTATGCAGATGCCACATTTTATTCATCTCTCCCTCTGCTGATGAACACTGGGCTGTCTCCAGCTTATGGCTCTCTCAAGCAATGCAGCAAAAGCAGCTTTTCACCGGGGCCTGGGTCTCTGGACCCCACGGACCTGGCAGGGAAGCGATGCGGCCACAGAGTGTACACATCTTCCCAGCTTACCCAGAATCGCTTACTTTCCCTCCATTGGTTTTAAGAGTCTGTCTTCTAAGCTAGGACAGCATTTCCTCTCCCAGTGGTCTGTGATCCACTGGAAGTCAGTTTTTGCTAATGGTTGAGCTTGGGGCCCAGCTCACTGTTTTTTAAAAGGGAAACCCATAGTCCTTGTGATGGCCTCTGTCACCTGAGCCTTCTTGCTGTCCCCCGAGGCCAGGACTGTCCCTGCTTCTTAACTATATCATAACTCTTCTGTCCCTCCCCCTGAGCAGAAACACCTCCTTTCTGCTGAGTCAAATTCCTCCCCAAGTTCTAACCTTCAAGACAGTCTGAGTTCACAGTCGTTTGAGGCTAAGATCCATCTTTTGCTAGTGGAGAGCTCCAAATCACAGATGGTGCCCACCAACCACCTGCTTCATCCCTCTCCGAACGGCCACCAGCTCCTCTCTGGGCTCTGATCACAGCCTGTCCTGATCCAGGTTCACCGCTCTGGAGCGCCCGAGTCAGTATCCCCCCTGCACCACCCTGAGCCCCACCTGGCAGGGCTGGGTGGACCCTTACCTGCACCTGTGGCAGAGCACTGCCCCCGTGTGCTCAGCCCTAAGTCCTGATGGAGTCCCTTCACTGCATCTCCCAGCCTGCCGTCCCTTCCTCCAGCCTGCTCACGGCCCCTCCTGGGCCCCACAATCAGAGAGACCTGAACCAGCCATCCGGAGAGAACTGCTCTTTCTGCACGGATTGGGCAGCCACTCAGCTTCTGTGGGCAACAGTTTCCTCATCTGAGAAACGGGTTTGGCCAGATTCAACGCATGGAGCACAGAAGAACCTTGTGGGCACAGTGCCCCCCTGTGCTTCACACAACCACTTGTGCAAACTACTCACTGCAACGCCTGCACCTCTTGGTAACTAGAGTGAGACGGTGGGGAAGGAGCGGCCGCACACTCACGTTTTCACGTAGGGGTCTGAGTAGCCGTTGGCGTCCATGGCGGCCAGGTGGGCACAGCGCACGATGCCAACCAGCAGGCCCTGCTTCTGCGAGCTGTACTTGAGGGAGACCAGGATGCGGCCCCGCTCCTCCAGGGACTTGTCTTCCGTCTTGTCCACCTGTGGAGCGGGAGAGCTGTCACTCAGCTGTCCTTGCCTGCCCCTCCCGTAGCCACAGGCCCAGGCCACGTGGAGCCCAGTAGGTGCTGGTGGAGGGGTCGTGGTTCACTGGGCCCCTGGCCCCTGGAACGTGCTTCCTGGAGCCTCAGGGTGTAGGAGGGCCCCATTGGGAGAACCTGGAAACAGTCCAACCCCAGGGGCAGCCAGGAGGTGGGTGGGGCATGGCCCAGCAGCTGCCCCTGGGGTCAGACCTCAAGTCTAGGTCTCACCGAGTGGCCCCTCCCCACCCCAGTCAGCATCCTGAGACCTCCCATTTCCACCTTGCAGCTGATGCTCACCGGGAACCCCGCTCCTCTACCCTCTGTCCACCCAGCCCGAGCCCTACGACCTCTGAGGGCCCCTTCTAGGCGTCTCTGCCAGGCTCCTCTCACACTCAGCCTCTCTGGCCTTGAGTCTCCTCTGCCTGGCCCTGAAGCAGCACCTCACGTGGCCCCTCGTGGGCCGGGGCCACGCTTGCACCTCTCTGGAGATGGGAATCCTGTGGGGTGAAGGAAGGACCATTCCCCCCCGACCCCACACCCAGGGCAGACATGGCCAGGGGATCACCACATTCTCCCTGAGTGCAATCTTGGCCAGTTCTCCACATCGTTCTCAGCCGGTCGGTGCCCATGGGCCTGAGGAGGCAGGGGAGATCCAACCACCTGTCACTCCGGCCTCGGGCTTCGCGTGCGACAGCCTCACTGAACCACGGCTCTTGTGCCAGTTGTGATGTGTGAAAATTAAACAGTATAATGAGCTGGGATATTTTCAGCTTTTTTTTTTTTTTTTTTTTTTTACAGTGGGATATACTTTGGATGGTTTCACATAAAGACCATTTTGAGCTGGGACATTGCTCAGTATTTATGAACAATGAATAAGGTTTACAAGGCTCTCTAAAATCTATGAGGTACCATCAAAATGAATCTTTACTGCCGAGTAATTATCCCAAATTGCACCCTTGTCAACTGTGGGTCTCTGAACTGGACCGATGAGATCCTGGCAAATTCAAGCGAGGCTCAGCAAGGCCTTGATCACGTCCCAGGCACAAGCATGTACACTCTCAAACACATCCCCTGTGCATGAAACAGGTGCTCACTCATGCATTCCACACTCTTGCACACTCACACACTGCTCACACACAATTCATATTCAACACCACCACACAGGTGATTGTTTATATCAGGGATCAAAACTCAGGAACACAACTCCAGCAGGAGTTGATGTTGCCTTTTATAAGTGACATAGATCATTTGGAGAAACTGGGTCACCTGCGGTTAGTGACTAATAATAACGCTTAAAAGGTTATCTCCATCACACACATGCCTAGGAGTGGGAGAGAATGTGACCACGGAGTACAGTTTGTTCAGGTTATGCAAAAATACAGAGCTGGGATCCTGGGCGGGAGCTCTGCCCTCAGGTCGGTTGTTCCCGGCCTTGACCAGGCCAGGCTGCACTGAGCAGGGCCCTAGGTGGGTACAGGCACTCCGGGGATGACCCTTGGGCTCTGTCCTCTAGAGCTTTCCCATTGCCCAGGCTTCTGGTGGGGAACTGTCCTGGGCAGAGGGAACTGTGTCCTCTGTGGGACTTCACCACGCAGTCCTTGAAGCCCCAGGTTTCTTAGCCTGGGACCTCCTGGCCAATCTCTCCCAGTCCTTCTGAAGTGGGTGAAGGCAGGCCTGGGGAGGGGAAGGGAAAGTGAAGGGGAAGGGGAGAGGGAAGGGAAGGGAAGCGGGGAGGGGAACATTGCTCAGAGACTGGGAAGGCTCAGCTGCTGCACACGGCCAGGGGGCAAAATCAGTTCTGACACGTTCAAACAATTGCAATTTCTAGGAAATAATTATTTTCTGTCTCCTCTGGGTATCTCACAGGCACCTCATGCCTAACACATTCCATTGAGCTCCGAGCATCCCCAGCTGCTCCTCCCGCGGTACCCCGCATCCTAGTGAATGACCCTTCATCCTCCCAGGCCCCACACCTAAGGATGCTGATCTTCCGCCCTTCTCCCTGGCTCCTCTGCTGCCTGGCCCAGCTCCTATTCCTGCTCCTCCCTCTGCACTTTTGGTTTCCTCACCCTCGCCCTCCACTCCCTCCCATCCTGAGGAGCCTGTTAAAATATCCTCAGATAGCCTGGCCTTCGCCTAGTATGCTCCCGTGGGCCATCTCACTCAGGGATAAAGCTGGAGTCCTCTCAGTCTCCCCAACCCCAACTCCTGCTCTCAGCTCCCAGGACCCCTTGCCCCCTGCTCTCTCTGCCCGCCTCAGTTGGCCTCTTGCCTGTGCCTCCTGTAGGCTGAACACTTTTCCATGAAGGCTTTGCACCTGCGGCTCCCTCTGCCTGGAATATTCCCCGCTTGCCAGGTGAGCCCTCCCAGAGCACCTGTCTAACCCATCGACCCTCTCATGCTTTCCTTCTCAGCCCCGATCCCTGCTGAACGTTCGATCTATTTGGGTGGTTTATCTCATTTTTGGTCTGGCTCTTGTCCAAGCTTCATGAAGGCAGGGAGATTTATCTGTCTCCCCAGCACTTGCAGCCATGCCAGGCACAGAGTAGGTGCTCAATGAATGCTCTTGGGGGCTTGCCTGACTGGGGCACTGGGGTGCCCAGTGGTTACGAATCCACCTGCCAATGCAGGGCACACAGGTTCCATCCCTGGTCCATGAATATTCCACATGCTGCGTCACAACTATTGAGCTCTGCAACAAGAGCAGCCACTGCAATGAGAAGCCCGTGAGCTGCAATAACGAGTAGTCGCCGATCGCTGCAACTAGAGAAAGCCCTCAAGCAGCAACGAAGACCCAGCACAGCAAAAAATAAATAGATTAAAAAAAAATGCTCTTGGCCTTGAGCTCATGGCAGCGTGGGCCCTGGACGGCTCCAGAGCCTGACTCACCGGCAGCTGCTTCTCTAGGCAGATGCTGAACGTCTTGGTGTGGTTGGGCTTCAGCTTCTTCAGGGGCACCCTGGTCTCCCCGATGAACTCGTTGTGGCGGAATTTGTCCTCATCACACACGGATATCCTGGAGGGCAAGGGGCCTCTCAGTTTGCTTCCAAAGTCAGGGAGGGTTTGCAAGTGGTGGGTGGGGGTGTGTGGGCAGGGTCAGCCCTGTGGACAAGGCTGGGTGGGGTGGGGGAGCCAGTGGCCAGGGGGCCTCACCCACCGCAGGGTCTTTCGGATCATGTCTTCGTCTGTGATCCCGTAGTAAGTGAGGGTCTCGTTCCACGTGGGGTTCAAAGTGTTTCGGAGAGTTTTCGTTCTGAGCTTATTTGCCTGGAGAGAGAGCATCAAGGAGGGCAGTGGGCAGTGTAATGACCCCACACACGTCCCAATCCCCCAGGAACCCAGCAAAGCAGGGGGCAGAAGCTGCTCATCGGCTGACTTTACAACAGCAAAGGGGCTTCCCTGGCGGTCCAGTGATCAGGACTCTGAGCTCCCACTGCAGGGCACATGGGCTCAATCCCTGGTCAGGGAACCAAGATCCCACATGCCATGGTGCAGGCCCGCCCCGCTCCCCGGCCCTGCAGAAGAAAAAAAACATCTGTACAACAGGCAGATGATCTGGGTGGGCCATGTCCTCACCGGGCCCTTAAAAGTGGAAGAGGAAGGCAAGAGAGAGGCAGAGGGAGATGTGATAAGGACAGAAGGTCAGAGAGGTGCCACCGGCTTTGAAGACAGGAAGGGGCCACGAACCGGGCCAAGGGGGCGTCTCTGGAAGCTGGAGAGGAATAGGAAACAGCTTCTCCCCTGGAGCCTCCAGGATGGAAGGCAGGCATGCTGCCAATCCATATTAGCCCTGTGGGAGCCACGCCCTGCGGAACTGGATGGTAAGAGCTGGGCGGTGGTGTAACCCAGACAGCTCTGGGTTCGAGTCCCAGCTCCCCGACTTGCATAATCTCTATGGAGACCAGTGGGTCTCTGTGAGGGCTTCAGGGCATAACGACCACCTCTCTCAGCTCGCTTTTCAGGCCCCTGTCTATAAGGAGACTGTGCTCTACGGAATGTTGCCCTAACTCAGGGGTCAGTCCTACGACAGGCCCCTAGGACTCAGCAGCAGGTACTGCTGACTTGAGGCCCTAGGAGTCTAGGGATGCTCGGCCATGGAGCCCCCTCCTGGGGCCACGTGGCTCTCACAGCTCTGGGGATCACCCCGCCCCACCCCCAGCATGAGGATGCAAGGCTGCAGGGGGAGCCTGCTCCTCCAGGCGTTGGAGGAGGGTCAGTGTCCTTTTTCCCACAGCCCTGCCTTCCCTCCCGGGGTGACTCCCCTGGACAAGTGTGACCCCCAGACCTATAAATACATTCATCCAGGGGGGTTGGGCCCCAAGGGAACTCAGACCTCAGCAGCCAGTGGCTCCTCAGCCTGGGTGGCCATCTGGGGGCAGGGCCACCCAGTTGTGTGGAGCAGTGGCCGGGGAGGCCCTCCGCCCAGGGGCCGCCCCCATTGCTGAGACTTCCTATGAGGTCACTCGCAGGTCAGGAAGCAAGTCCTCTACTTTGGCTTCTGAGAAAGAGGCCGGGATAAGAACACCAGCCACCAGGCTCTGCTGCTCAAGCACTCGGGTCCCGTGTACCCTGTCCCTCCACTTCTGCCCTGCGCTCTACTCAGAAGCGAAGCTGCTGCACTCCTGTTGAGTGCCCTGGCATGGGGTCTGCCCACCTCACCCCTTGCGATGTCTGTGGGTTCCCAAGGCCAAGGAAGGACCCACTTCTGAAAAGACGATGTGACCTTTCTTCCCATGACATTACAAAGAAAACTGCACTCAACTGTAAGCTGTATGAAAGAAGTCTAATCAAGTTCTGATCTTCCAGTGCCGAGGGCCACCTTGATGCTTTTGTTAATAGCTAATTTAAGAAAAAAAATTTCTTCTCTCACAGATGCACCTGTTGGTCTGGTCTGTTTGTCAGGTCATCTGGTGCGGGAACAAGTGTTCTGTTGTCAAATAATCTGGGCAGATGCTGACCACTCCATCCCCCTTGTGGAGCATCACAGAGCTGCCCACCAGGGCATTAAAGGCTCTGATAAGTCCTGCAGTAAGGAAACCGGTTTAATAATGTTTCCTGAAGTTACTTGGTCACAGAACCCTTTGTTTGCACATAGTATTAACATCCAGTTGAGGATGTTTCTTATAAAATGCTGGCCTGGAAATTCTCTGGGGGAGTTTCCCCAACTCAGCAGGCAGTTGGTATTGACTAGAGGTCCCCTGGGAGGCCTAGAGGGTGTGGGAGCTGGGGGCTCCCTGGGTGCCCCAAGTCCAGCCTGGGCCCCAGGCGGGCACAGCTGGTCAGCAGGCCCAGAGAAGGTCCCCTCACCTTACTGGCTCCTGGCAGCAGGTGCAGCTTGACGTACGGGTCTGCCAGCCCATTGTGGTCCATCGGCTTCAGGCCCTGGGCAGAGGAGAACAGCAAAGGGTGTAAGTGGGGGATTGGGGGCACAGAGCAGCCAGGGCCTCCGGGCACCTGGGGCAGCAGGCCCCAGCAGGCCCCTGGACCTCCCAGCTGGGTCCACTCATGGCCCTCTTCACAGAAGCACCCCTGCCCTATACCCCCAGGATGCGGAAGCAAGGATGGCTTAGTGCTGGTGCAATTTCCTGCCCCCCACCCCCCCAGATGTCTGATTCTGCGTAGATGCCCCGGGGGCGTCTTTGGTCAGGTCGGCCTCTTATTGTCTTCTAGTCATGGAGGCCAGGTGACTCACATTTCTCTGACTGAGGGCCCTGTTATCCTGCTGTGGTCAGATCCTTCCTTCTTCCTGAACCCTCTTCCCTTGCTCCCCAAGCCCTGCGACTTTCCTCACTGACCCTAAGTCCTCGTGAGCCCCTGTCCACCTATGCACACGCCTCCCTCTGCGGCCACGGGAGAATGTTATATGTCCTGGAGACCAGGCTCTGCTTCTCTCTGGCCTGACCACAGGGCCCTGCCCGTCTGTGTCCCTGGAGGCCACACAAGCTGGCCGGCCGCGGAGAGTCCCTCTGCAAGAGGGCACCCCTTACTCACTCTCGACCACCATCAAGTGTGCACAGCCAGGGAGCCCACGGAACCACAGACGGGCGCCCAGCTGACCTCGTGCCTGCTCCTGTTTCTGGAAACTCTCTACTGGGATGGCTCACGGGGAGGGAGGGGGTGGTGACGTGTGCGGGGCGGAGGTGACATCCCCACGACCTTATCCAAAGACGAACCGCAAGGTGACCAGCCCACACCCCCACCTCCCAGGGGAGCTGAGGCCCTTCTCCCCACTCCCCACCTTGGTTCAGAGGAGCCCTCGGGTGGGGGCTGAGATCTGACGTTGGGGCTTCCAACTGCTAACCAGCACTGCCTCGTTACCAGGAAGGGGCCCACAGGTTTTATTGCCAGGATGACCAGGATTCAGGTCCAGCTCCGGCACCTATCAGCTGGGCAAGTGAGGAGGCCTCTGCCTCCTGAGCCTCAGTTTTATCATCTGTAAAAGGGGTTAATAGTCCCCATGTCCCAGGGTAGTTATGGGAGTCGAGGAGGTGATGATATTGCAGGGCCTACTGCTGGGGCACTTGCCCTGCTTCCAGTCTGTGCTGGGCCCTCTCAGGATGCCAGAAAAGTGGCGTGGGGTGGGGTGGGGTGGGACATCTGAGCTGGGCCCGGAGCTGCCTGGGTTCCAGCTCTGCCCTGCCCAGGAGGGCTGGCTCCAGGACGAGGCTTGGCTGGGCGGCTCTGTGTGCACCATGGAAGAGGTGACCCTGCCCAACACACACCTCTTACCCTTTCTCACAAAGTTGGAACTTCCCAGTTCTGCTGTGGGTGGGTGTGTTCCGCCAGGCCCTGTGCTCCAGGACAGCATTAGATACTAGGCACTCATTCATTTAATGCTCACAACAATGCACAGGGGACGATTAACCCTATTTTAGAGATGAGCAAACTTGAGGCAGCTCTACTCACTTACAGACTAGGTGGCCGAGCTAGGGTCCACTGCTGGGGCATCTGGTGTCCTCTGAGAGATGACCAAGGGGCGCCCCCTGTCAGCCTCAGCCTTCCTACCCTCTGGGGCTCCTCCCCACACCCCAGCCCGCCCTAGCTCCTCCCATGCCTGCACCACCTCCTGCCCAGCAGAGGATGAACTGGAGATCGGGGAGCTGCCATGGCTCCCCCACCTCCAATGCCGTGAGTGGAGCAACCCTAAGTGGACACACATACCTATACACACCCCAGTACCCCCACACAGCCCCTCGAGAGCCTGGTAGGGACAGCGGGGCACACAGCACGGGGCGGGGGGGGGGCGGTGTCTGCGTGGGTGGGGAGGAGGGCTGGCTCTGCCAGAGCGGCCTGGCAGCCAGGGCCCTTTCCCAGCACCCAGGCCTGGACCACCTCTATCTACACAGCTGGGTGGCAGGCGAAGGGAAGGGTCTGCCCGGGCCGTGCATCCTTGCCCTCCACCTCTTCAGATTCCCAACTCTGCTCCTAGGGCAGGTCTGGAGGCCTACAGGGAAGGCAGGTGCCACGCCACCACCAGAGCAGACCTCGGAGGAGAGGGTGGGGTGGGGATGGTGTGGGTCCACCGGGGACACTACTCACCCCATCACGGTGGCCCAGGCCAGGAGGGGCACAGCCGGGGCAGAAGCAGGCGGCCGGCCCCTCTGGACGGGCAAGAGCCACAGGCAGGGTGGTAGGAGGGGCAGAGAAGCTGGCAGGCTGGGGGGCTGGGGGGGGGCCTGGGCCCAGGCAGCAATGCCAGAAGCTCCCTGCTTGGAGCCGGGACCAGGCCCTTCCACGGCTCTACCGGGAGGCTCTATCAGGCGGCGTATCCGCCCTTACCTTGCGGGAGAACATCAGCCTGGGCACCTTCCTCCCAGCAGGAGCAATGCGGTGGGGACGAAGGGAACAGCATGGCTGAGACCAGAGCTGACAGGGGCCAGCCCGGGACAGGGGACCATGGGGCTTAGATACCCGGCGCCCCTGCCCAGAGAGCAAGCTCAGGCCTATGTGACCAGAGCCTCCCCAGGGAGGCAGGAAGCCCAGGTGTTGGGAACTTGGGCTGGAGGCGTCCACGTCCAACCCCTCCTCTCCACCCTCAAGACAGGCCTGTTAGCACCCTGCCTGCCCTTCCCTGCCCGACAGCTCCCCAGTTCTGGGGGCCTTAGGCCCCTAAATGCTACCCTTCCACCCTCCTCCTCTCATCCTCTCTGGCTTCTCTACCCTACTCTTCCCCTGAAAAGCCTCCCTACAGGGGAGGCAGCAATGTCTTAGGAGTAACTGAGCTGAGCACTGCCTCCTCGCCCTGCGCCCGCTGGTGGCCTACCTTGGCCTTGGTGATGGTGCAGTGCAGGGCGTTGTTCTCCTGGTCGTAGAGCAGGCTGAAGTCCAGTGTGCCCAGGGCGGCTGCGGACAAGGAGGGCTCAGGTCACTCTGGGGCCACACGGGGGAGAAGCGTCAACCAGCCCTGTGCAGCCGGGCGAGGTGTCACGGTGCCCATGCTGACTGCCACTGACTGAGCACCTACTACCTGTCCAGCCCCCCCACTCCCTGGGAAGGAGCCGAGGCTCAGTGGGGTTAGGCCCGTCACCCGCCGGATGCCGTGAGTGGTGGCCTCCGACCCCTGCATCATGCCTCGTGGCCTGCAGTTGGTGCAAGGTGTGGCCATGTGTGCCGGGCGCTCGGCTAAAGGGGTTCCTGTCATCCTGGTGCGACTGCCGGCCCGGGCTCCACACCTCGCTCCCCTTGGCCTGTGATCTGTCCTAGGATGGTGCGAGAAGGCAGAGGGGTCAGGCTCTGGGTGGCTGCAGGCCTGGGCCCGGCCGACCGGCTGATGCACTCACCGCCCCCCCAGCAGCACTCGGGGCTGCAGCCCCCTCTCTCCAGGCCCTTGGGGGCCCTGGGCAAGAGTGAGCTGGGCTCTCACGGTGCTACCCTGGCCACTGAAAAAGCAGACAGGGATTCCCAAGGGCCGGGCAGTGGGTGCAGCAGTGACTGGATGCAGCTGCCGCCCTCGGGCACCGTCACACACAGCAGCTGTGGCCTTTCATGCCGCCGTGGCTCCGGTATAAAGGTGGGGGTGGTGGGTGAGGGCGGACCTCGGGGGCATGTCTCCCTTGCGAGACACACATTCACAGGATGTGTTTAGAAGCCCAGACCCTGCTTGCTGGTCAACTGACTTCCCATTCATTCACTCATTACCAAGTGTTCACAACACGCTAGGCTCTAGGAATGAAGATGGGTTTCCCTGGTGGCTCAGTGGTAAAGAATCCGCCTGCCAACAGGAGACGTGGGTTCGATCCCTGGGTTGGGAAGATCCCCTGGAGAAGGAAAGGGCAACCCACTCCAGTATTCTTGCCTGGAAAATTCCATGGACAGAGGAGCCTGGTGGGCTACAGTCCATGGGGTCAGAGAGTCAGACATGACTGAGTGACTGAGCAAGCTCACACTTACTCACACACACACACAGGAATGAAGATATCAGAAGGCAGGTTCCTGCTCCAAGGAAAGCACAGCTTAATAGGAGGAACAGAAGACAAGGATTTGCCACAACAAAGTCTGGTGGGCCAGGATTGATGAAGGATTCCTGAGCTTGATGTGAAATGGGGCCATCAGAGAAGGCTTCCTGGAGAAAGTGACCCTTCACTTGAGCCATGCAAGATGAGTAGGAGTTGGCTAGTGCAGAGTGAGGCTGGGAGAATGGGCATTTCAACCACAGGACCACCCAGAGGGCAGGGGGCTGGGTGGTTGGAGTCATGCTAGGGGGAGGCCAGGAGTTGCCCAGCGTGGGTCTAGAGCAAACCACAGCTTGCTGGCCAAGTCTGGCCACTATTTGTCTAGCATCTCTGCTCCTAACACAGCGTCAGGCACCCTGCTCAGCGTCTCTGTCATTGCCTGGAGGGGGCACCTGTAGGGTGTCTGACCTCTGAGGTCTGACCTTGGGTTCAAACCCTGGCTCTGCACTTCCTTGCTCTGTGACCTTAGCATATCTAGTCTCTCTGTGCCTCAGTTTCCTCATCTGCAAAATGGAAACACAACAGCATCCACCTCACGGCATGCCTGGGGTGCGGAAGGTACTCAGCAGATAATTATAGAAGAAGCAGATCCATTTAGGTGATGTTTCTAGATGAGCGTACTTGCCCCTCTGAGACACCTCCTGGAATGAACTCGTTCTGAACTGGATCGCTCTCCTCCCGGCCCTTGTGAGCAGAATACACAAACGGTCACTTAGACTTTTCGGAACAACCTGAGTCATCGCCATGACTGTGGCTAACTGTGCCCTGGGTCTGAGTCCCAGCCCAGGCACTGAAGGGTGTGTGAGTCCTTCACCAGGCGATCCTGGGTGGCCACTCTTTCTGAGGTTTTCTTGACTTTTTTTCTGCCTCCTCTTTTGACATCCGCTTGAAACTCCTGTTATGTTAAAGTATTTGCCCCTGGTCGCATAGGCAGCGCTACCTCCTAGTCACTGGTACTTGGTTCTTCTATGAAACCAGGTGAGAATAGTTGTTAAAATTGTGTCTAAACTCAAAGGCAACAGGCCTTAAGTGGAACCAAGAGTCCTTTTCCCCGAGTGAAGTAAGCATGCTTTAGTCCTGCCTATTGGGTTTCCCAGGTGTCTCAGGGGTAAACAATTTACCTGCCAATGCAGGAGAAGCAGGTTTGATCCCTGCAGATTTTACTGGAGAAAGAAATGGCAATCCACTCCAGCATTTCTGCCTGGAGAATCCCATGGACAGAAGAGCCTGGTGGGTTGCAGTCCATGGGGTCGCAAAGAGTCGGACATGACTGAGCACGCACGCATCTGGCCTATTGCTGCCTGCTTGCTAGGTTGCCTCCGTGCTGGCAGGGCAGGTGAGGGTGCTGTAAGGGTAGGATCTATCACCTCGCCTGTAACAACTAACAGCCACAGGCCCAGGCTTCTCCAGGCTTTTGCAGTTACAGCCTTTAAAGCGCTTGGCTTTGCAAGACAGTAAATCAGCCTACTGTTCTGTTCAGCCCTAACGTGCGGCTTGTGCTTCCGGAGGGCAGGGACCACACCTCTGACACCAGCAATGAGCAGATGTTCAATTCACAAGGCTGGTCTATCCAAACCAACCCGTTTGCCGGCTGCTCACTTGAGCAGAGACGTGGTGTGATGCTCGTGTATTAAAACACACAGTTCCAACACAGCATTGTAAAGCAATTATCCTCCAGTTAAAAGAACAGCAACCACAAAATCCACACAGTTCACAATCTCTGCCCAGTTCCTCATCCCAAAGAAGGACAAAGCAGCAGGCAGAGCCCCCACTGGGAAATTCAGCTCCAGGAAGGGAGAGGGGTCCCTTCCACTAGATTTACAGACACCTGTGTTTAAGGAGGGGCCTGACACGGCTCAATAAAACCGACAGCTGTTATCACTGCCTGGGAGGGAACAGCAAGCCCAGTGCTGCCCCAGGACAGGATTGGTGGATTTCTTCAGATGCCAATGCAAGTTGTAGAAGAAATAATAGTTTAGAAATAGAAGCTCAGTCGCCATTTTTAGAGACTTGCTGGTGGTGGAGCGCTCAGAGAGCTCTTTATTTCCTATTTCCTATTTGGAGAATTGAGGCTCAGAGAGGGGAGGTGATCTGGCCAGACTGGCATAGGAAAGCTGGATGCAGAACCCAGGCCTCTTCACTTCCATCCTGATCGCTCCTTCCTGCCTTAAAGCCTAGTGGCTTCCAATATTTTCTGTCTGCTACTTTGTTAAGCTGAACTCTTGAGAGGATGGGACAGAAAAACAAAAGAGGGATAAACAGAATTGCTCCTGGGGCACAGGGAGGGCTGGTCTGCCACCCGAGAGGGACCTCTGAGTTGAAAGGTCCCCTGGGCTTGTGGCAGGTGAAGCGGGCCCTGAGGACAGGTGAAGGTGCCTGTCCATGTGGGCCACAGGGTCCTGCCCTCCAGCCACTCAAATCACACGTCCTGGCTAAAGTTTACATCCTTGGATAAATTATGAGGCTTGGTCACTAATGGGCCTCTGAGAGTTGTCACCCGCTTGTTGATAATTATAGAGCTTTAATGGGGCTAATTCAGAGAAAATCAAGCTCAGCTCCTGTCAGTTCCTCTAAGGCAGAACATCCCTCTGCTTGGCTGATGGAGACTGACAGCATCATTTTGACCTTGGTTCGCACCTGGACGTTCCTCATCCATACACCCTTGGGAATAGGAAATTGGCCCTGATTTTCTCTTTTTAAGAAAAATGTCATCCTCTCAAATAGTTAAAAAAAAAAAACCATGGCAAGAACCACAGAAAATGATCAAGTCTGAGTTGAAAGGATTTCCTAGTTGGGGAAATTGAGGCACTGACCAGATGCTGCAGGGGGAACAAAGAGGAATGAGCCATACATCTTATGGTCCTGCTTACCAGGTGCTCAAGGTAGAGGGCGAGGACTTTTATAAACCTACTCATGAGCTTCCCTGGTGGTCCAGTAGTTAGGAATCCGCCTGCCAATGCAGGGGACGTGGGTTCAACCCCTGGTCCGGGAAGATCCCACATGCCGTAGGGCAACTTAGCCCGTGTGCCACAACTACTGAAGCCTGTGCACCAAGAGCCCGTGCTCCGTGCAACAAGAGATGCCTCCACAATGAGAAGCCTGTGCACTGCAACTAGAGAGTAACCCCCACTCGCCGCAACTAGAGAAAGCCTGCCTGCAGCAACAAAGACCCAGCACAGCCAAAAATAAATAAATAAATAGTTTAAATTGCCACCCCCTCCCAAAATATAAACCTATTCATTCCCCTACTTTACATGGTTCAAAGGTTTTCCACTGCCTCCTGAACTCTGTCAACCTCCCTGGTGTGGCATTCAGGCCCTCTGTGATATGACCACTTGGGCTTCATCATCCTCTTTTCCCTTTGCTCCAGCCACTGGACTCGTCCTCCTTCCACTTGGCCAGCCTGGGTTCTCCCTCCTCCCACTGCACCCTCTTTGTGGGAGAGCTCCGTGCAAGCCAGCGCTTCCCATCTGGGCTCCTGACTCGTCACTGCTGGGTTATTTGTGTGTCTCCGTTTCCATGAACTCCCTGGTGGCAGAGATTGCGTCTCAGGCACTCTGCAACCTCCATGCTCGGCACAGTGCCAGACACCTAGTTGGTCCCGAAAGGCTGAGTGTGTGGAAATATGGCCCAGGGAGAATATGACAGGGCCCTAAAGAAGGGGAATCAGCAAGTGGGGACAGGGAAATGATTCCAGCTGAGGGCCTTCTGGGCCGGCCTAACAGTGGTTCCTCTGCTCCATCCTTGCTCCAGGCCTCTGTGGGCATCAGTCCTGACTCAGCCCCGGATGAATCATGTAGGGGCCAGTGTAAGCGCGGCCATGAGATGCGACTCTGGCCCGAGAGACAAAAGGACAGATTTCCTGGGGAGAGGTTTCCTCACTTTTAAACTGAGACATGGGAGCGGAAGCTCATCAAATTTAGGATCTTACTGTGATATGAGGGGGGGGTCAGCCTAAGAGGAAAAGGTGGGACTTTTCTGGTGGCTCAGAATCCACCGGCCAGAGTAGGAGACAGGGGTTTGATCCCTGATCCGGGAAGATCCCACAAGCCTTAGAGTAACAAAGCCCTTGCACCACAGTTATTGAGCCTGTGCTCTAGATTCCAGGAGCAGTAACTACTGAAGCCAGTGCACCCTGGAGTCTGCGCTCCACAATAAGAGAAGTCACAGCAGTGAGAAATCTATCTACTGCAACTAGAGAGTAGCCCCCACTTGCCACAACCAGAGCCCATGCAGCAGCGAAGACTCAGCACAGCCAAAAAATAAATAAAATTTAAAAAAGAAAAAAGAGGAAAAGGACGCGGCCAAGTGGAGAAAGACAGAACCGTTGCCACTGGAGCTGCTGCTGAGTGGTGGCGTGAATCTGCCCCGGTCCCACACGACCTCAACAGTCCTCACTGTTTAAGGCACTCTGAATTTTCCGTTACCTAGAAACCCCAAAGCATTCTAGTCATTTCGGCTTTGAAGGATGTACTGAGTTTCTACAGGTGGAGACTGGGTGGGAGGGCATCGTAGGCAGGGGAGTAGCAAGTGTGGAGATGGGGTGGGGGGCACAGGGCCATTGGAAGGGCAGCAAGCAGCGGAGTCCAGCTTAGCCAGGCCACTCTGTGGGTCACTGGGAGGGCGTGGCCACAAGGGACACCTCTGACGATAACATTTCTGCATCTTCACCCTGTTAACACTCCTCTATTAGATCAGTTGGGAGCCTGTCAGTTTTGTGCTTGTGCCTTGCAGTGACTTAATCAAGGATGGGCTTTAAAGAGAAGGGGAAAAAAGGCTGAATAAGTAAACAGTACTTCACTCCTGGCCTTAGACAACAGAGCAACCGTCCTAATTTCTTTTTGTTAGAACGGAGATAATCCAATAATTAGGGCAGCAGATAGCATAACCCTGGCTAAAGCCGTAATGAACCATCTGGCTTGAATCATTTAGGCTTATTGTAGGGATCTGGTTGTCAGAGCTGAGAGGGAGGTGAGGCCTGGGCTACTGAGTGGAGAATGGTTCCACCCTAGAACCTGGTCCCCCTCACCTCGGAACCCAGATATTTCCGCTTTCAAGGTGCGATGTTGGGCCACTGATGGGGTCTAAGCCTGGGGCGGCGGCCCCTTGAAAGGAATGAGGGGACTCAAGCTGGCCCTGGCTCGGTCACACACCCTTCTCCCTGGCTCTCTGCAGCAGAGTGCCCTGGTGACACGGGTGTGGCCAGCCCACGGGTTCAGGCTGGCAAGGCTGTGTCTGATTGCCCCACACTGCTGACCCCAAGTGTGTCTGACTCCTGCTAGGACAATGAGCTCTGAGTCTGGAGCCACAGCCCTGTTCCCTCTCTGCTTCGAAGACAGTGCTCTGTGAAGGACTGCTGAGTTGATGGACTGAAGATGGGGCAACTGGCCCGTGTCTTGCACTTTCTGGTCCCCTCCTTGCCTGTGGGTTCAGGGACAGCCGAAAGAAACAGCCTGATTTCTCATCTCTTAGCTCTATGTCTCTGGAGGGCCCGGGTGGCACCAGGAGAGCCTGAAGCTGGGGTGGAAGCCCTGCCCTGCTCGCCTGCTCCCCTGGCATAGCAGGAAAGATGCTGGAAATGGGAACAAGTGCCCCACCCCTTCTTCTGGACCCAGGGAAGAGTCAGGGCATGCAAAGGGGTGACTTGGGTCTCCGCCTGCCCAGAGGCACAGCAAGTGAGGGGGTGCACCTGGCCCAGGGTGCCAGGAGCTGGGGGTGAGGAAGATCCAGGGCACAGCCCGGAGGGCAATAAACTCTCCCGACCCAGTTTCCCCAGGCTGGCAGGAAAATGGAGGGAGAGGACTGCTCCCCATCCCCATGCCAGGCTCTGGCCAGAGGGCTGTGGTCCAGGCCCAAGAGCACGCAGAGCCGGCAGCTTCCCAGCACAGGCCCGGCTCCGACCCACCCGACCCAGGGCTGGCAGGCCTCCCTGCTCCTCTCTCCTCCCGGGCCTCGCCAGGTAGGGTGATGACAGGTCTGGCCCCACCGCGTCCCGCCAAGGTGCTGGTAACCCCCACTGTCAGCTTGCAGAGGCACATTTTATGTTGGGGAAACTCCAGACCCCCAGCCTGAGGCCCATGTGGGCACCCGAGCCAGGCGCAGCCGCCCTCGCTGCGCTGCGTGGGGGATGGGACCGGGCGAGCCTCGGCGAAGCGGGCGAGCGACCCCTGCCCCGAGAAAAGTCCACACCTTCCGCAGGACCGACGTTGGACTCGGGTTTAATAGCTCTGAGAGTGACGCGGCAGGGGCCACAGCCGGGCAGGGGCCTGGCGAGCAACGCTGCCCCCGGCCCCGGCCCCAGCCCGCGTAAATCCATCCGGCACCGCACCGCGACCTCGGCGTTCTCGGTTTCCCCTCCAGTCCCGGGGCGGGCGGGGCGGCCACCCTCGGAGCCCAGAAAGACGCCAGGAGCACCAGCCGGCCGGGCCTCGGCCCCGGGGGCCCCGGAGCTTGCCTATTCCCTGGGGCTCGGGGCTCATGCCCGCAGGAGGAGGCTGGGTGGGGGTGGGGGTGGCGGCCCTTACTGGCCCGGGAAGCCGGTGTAACAGGTGGGCGAAGGTCGGCGGCCGGGTCGAGCGCAGCTGGACCAAAGAACGTGGGAGGAGGAACCACCAAGGTTTTTCCAAAGGACAAGCGGGCCCTATGGTCCCCTGGTCCTCGGCCCGTGCGCCAGTCAAGCCGCCGCGCTCTGCGGCCGCCGGGCCCACCCGGGAGGCCGCCCGACTCCGGTCCCTGGGTCTCTCCGCCTCTCGCCCAGCCCGACCCTCGGCTGCGGGGCCGATCCGCCGCGTGCTCCGGGACTGGGAGCGATCGCGCGGCCGGCAGCAACTGGTGTCTCCCCGGGGCGCAGCTCCGCCCTGCCAGGGAACAAAAGCCGCCGCCCGCGCTGGGGCTCCCGGCGGGCGGGCCGAGAGGGGGCGCGGCGCGGGCTCCGGAGAGACGGCCGCTGGAAATGGGACACCCCCAGGGGGCGCCCCCAAACTTCCCACCTCTCGGACCTGCTCGAGGGAGGGGCTGTGTGTGCTGGGCGCGCGGAGAGCGCACGGCGCGGCCGGGGACTGCCACCAGGTGGGGGGGTGTGTGTGTGTGTGCCGGAGGAACCGAGACCGCAGGGGAGCCGAGGGCGGGCGCGCGAGCAGCCGCGCAGGGGAGGGGGCGAGAAGCTGGCGGGTGGGAAACTTACTGCAGTCGTCGGACTCGTAGCCGTCGGCGTCCGGCTCTTCCTCGGGTGGCTTGGCGGGCGGCCGCCCCGGGCTGGGGACTGGGCCGGGGCCGGGGCTGGCGCCATAGGCTCCAAAGAGCTGATCGACATCCTCGTCGTCGTCGCGGGCGCCGTCGGAGGGGCTGCGGCGGCCGGCGCTGGCCGCGGCGGGGCGCGCGGGGGCGTCCGGGGGCGCAGCAGCGCGGGGCCCGGCGTCCGGGGGCAGGCCCCGCGGGAAGCGGGGGAAGTAGTCGGAGATCTGCTTGATGGGCCGTATGGGGCCGGGGCACACGTCGATGGCCATATGCTCCTGGATGCTGATGGTCGCCTTCTCCCCGCGCCGCCGGAGGGTCATGCAGGCAGCGCGGCTCCGCCCGGGCGCGGCCCGGCCCGACCCGGCGCGGCCCCGGCCCGGGGGCGGCTCAGCTGGTCCGGAGGGGTGCGGCGGGGGCTGCGGGCATCGCTGGTGGCGCCCCCGGACGGCCCTGACGCGGCTGCTGCCTGCTTGGCGGCGGCCGGCGCGAGTGAGTGCCAGGGGCCGGCAGGCAGGGGGCGGGCCCAGCCCGCGTCACCGGCAGCCGCCGATCAGTGCGAGTGTGCGGGCGGCGCGAGCGGAGCGATCCGAGCGGCGCTGCACTCACTGGCACTCACACCGGCGCGCACGCCGGCCCGGGACCCTGCGCGCGCACTCGGCGGGCAGGGCCACTCGGCGCCTTCCACTCACGCGGCGCAGGACGGGCTCGGAGCTGAGCAGGGACCCGCAGGACGCACACCCGCACTTTCCCGCGCGTGCCCGCACTTCCTGGGCTCCGTTCACACAGGACACACGCCGGTGGGCAAGGACACTTCCAGCGCACAGAAACGTGTGCAGAACTGGGCGGAAGCGCCGACTGCTCACATCTGCAGAACACACGTACCCATAGAGAGTTGGTTGAGGCTACTGTGGTACCGTACAACCCCCCAAAACACACATCCCTAACAGCATTCGTGGAGGCGGTCAGGGGACTCAGGGCACCCCTGTCCGCAGCACACCTAACAGGATATACAAACACGCCCCCAAAGTGATCAGGGGACCCAGGGCACCTCCCAGCCCCCAGCCTAGCAGGACACATAGCTTCACTCCTAGGAGTGCCAGACAGGATGCTCTCACACTAGCAAGACATCCACAGCTGTCCAAGGTCACCGATGGCACAGTCTGTTCACCCTTCCTCTCAGGTCACACACAAGCACACTCCTTCTAACCAGGAGTCAGCCTCTCACTTGGTCAGTGAGTAGCTCGAAGGACAGGGTGTGTGAGGACCTTGACCACAAGAGGTGATCAGGAGAGGATGAGGGCAGGCAGGGGCCTGGGCATCCCCAGGGCATGATGAAGGAGGCAGAGGCGGAGAGGCAGGATGTGGCTGGCCACCGGGCCTCAGGCTTCCCACACAGTCAGAAAACCAAACAAACGCCCAGCCCTGGCTCTGTCCTGATTTCCTGAGAATTCAGTTCTGTTGGGAATGGCTGCTGCTTATCCAGGTGTGTCCCCAGAAAGCCCTGGTCATAGACAGAATCCTGTTTACTCTCTCTGATTTCCATTGACATCAGAGACGCTTATCTTCTTGTCTGGGTCCCTTCCAGAAAGACTAAATGAGGGATCTCAAGCCTGTGCCCCGGCCCCCACCATAACTCCTGTGGTGGTGTGGGGAGAAGAGAGAGGCAGGCTCACCTTCATCAATTTCAGCTGCATCATTCTGGCACATCATTAGCTCTCACTGAACCTCAGTTTTCTCAGCTGTGAAAGGGGGCTAATTCCAACTGCTCGGCATTCTGGGAAGGCTGCATCTGGCGAAGAGCATGGCAGATAAGAGATGCTCACCAGGTGTCAGCTTTCTCTTCACCCTTCCCTTGGGAGATGACACTCGCTGCTGAAGCAGCGTGTGATGGAGATCCGTGAGTTATTTCGTGGCGAGTTCTGAACTGGGCGGGGAAGGTCCCCACCCACCCTGGAAACCTATGGTGTGCTCTGTTGAGAGCATTCACAGCTGTCACCTTACTGGTTCCTTCTGTCACCCACCAAGCAGGCAGAGTACAATGTTCCCACTTTGCAGGGGAGGAAATTTAAGCTCAGATGTGACTTGCCTGGGTGATCTCTGGCTGGTGGCAGAGCTGGGCTCAGTCCTAACTTTTTTTGAGACTTCCATGGCCCCCACCCCTGCCTCTCCCTTCTCACCCCTACAGAGAAGAGCTGGAAACAGAGGTGAAACCTGGCTCCTGGGAGCTCTTCCTGTGGCTTCTTGGATGGGGACTGCCCAAATTGAGAAGGAAGGGGAGGGAAAGAGAGAGGTGGCCGAGAATCTTAGGGGTTGCAGTGGGAATGAGCCGGCCTGGGGGCTCCCTAAAGACAATCTGGGATCTTGGTGGGAGAAAAATTCGGCCCTCCAAGAATCAAAGGCCAAGGGAAGGACAGGAGAGCCCGGAAGCCTAACACAGTGAGTGGGTTTCTCATTTCCGGGAATGCTTAAGGGGATTAGTCCTTAAATAGGCACAGAGTGACTTCTGTGCCAGAGGTGGCTGCATCACTAAGTGATTATGTAATGACACAGGGTATTCAAGTACAGACATGGAACCATCATTCTGTAATTCATTCACTCAAGGAGCACGAGAGTGCAGTCTTCATCTTACAGATGGGGACGCTGAGGCTTCAGGAAGTCGAGTGACTGGGAGTAAGAGCCTGGATATCCTGACCTCTGACCCTGTGCCCTTTTGATGGCCAGGATCTACCTGTGTGTTCACTGGGAGTGGGGAGAGAGTGGGGCTGACCCCTTCTTCCTGGCCTCTTGACTTTCTGTGCATCTGGCTTTCTGGAGGTTCAGCCCCTGGTTCTTGGCTCTGTGGCTGCTGGCTCTGGGGAGGGTCTGCAAGAAGTGGGAGTGGAGGGCCCAGCCTCCAAAGCATCCAGTCAGCGAATGCCAGGATACCCGCAGGAGAAACACTGGCGTATTTGGGGCTAGCCTTTGGCAGGTGGCAGAATCGAGTGCCACTCTGAAGTCTGAATTCACCCAGCTGCCATGGGGTAGGGCCCCCTGGAGGGAGCAGAACTGGTGTTACCCAGGCAGGTGTCTAGTTTCTAGAAAGAGTCTGGGCAGGGGAGATAGGCAGATGGATTCAAAAGCAGTGCCTGAGACTTCCCTGGTGGTCCAGTGGTTAGGAATCCGCCTGCCAATGAAGGGGACGTGGGTTCCATCCCTTGTCTGGGAAGATTCCGCTAAGTCCGTGTGCCACAACTACTGAGCCTGCACTCCGTAACAACAGAAGCCACGGCATGAGGAGACCACGCACTGCAAGGAAGAGTAGTCCCTACTCGCCACAACTAGAGAAAGCCCACATGTGGCAACAAAGACCCAGCACAACAAAAAATAAACAAAAGCATCCTCCTGATTGTGTCTAATTTGGGGCAAGTTAGGGGGAACAACCTTGTGAGAAATGAAGGTGGGGCTGCAGATAAAGCACTTAGCATGTAAGAGGCACTCGGAACATTGTCATTCTCTTCCCCCTGCCTTCCTGGTGCAAACCATAGTTGGATGTGCCTGCCTCAGTCTCTCTACCAGTGAAATGCAGTTGGCTGCCCTCTTTTCCAGTCTGCGGCCAGTACGAGATGAGGACGCTGGGAAAGTACATTGAAAAGTGCAGGTACTTGGCAAGGTTGGGGCGCCAGCTGGTGTGTATGGGGATCTTTAAACAGCTGGACGTGTCCAGACCCCATCAATCAGGTTGCCTTCCACTCCCCACGCAGGCAGGCAACTGGACTTGTCCTTGGCAAAGTGAAGTGGGCAGAGTCACAGCCCTCAGGAATCCTGTACTCGTTTTTTTTTTGCCACACTGTGTGGCATGCTAAATCTCAGTTCCCAGACCAGGGATCACACCTGGGCCCCCTGCAGTGGAAGTGCGGAGCCTTAAACACTGGACCACCAGGGAAGTCCATGGAATCGTGTACTCCTGATTCTCCACCACCTGCTTCTCCCAACAGGCTTCTGAGCTGCCCCCTCCCCTCTCCAACAGACTGCAAAGGCCCCGGTCCAACTAGTGGGTTCCTCAAAGGATGGATGCAGGGTAACTGCATCCCTGGGATGCTTGTTAATAATACAGATTCCTGGCCCTTGCCTCACACCCATGGACTCAGATATGTGTGCAAAGACTCAGGATGAGTTTGAATAAGCACCCCTGGGTTATTTTATGCACAATTATTTGTATGAGAATCGCTGGGTTAGAAGGTGCAGATGGTTTAATATTCTCACCTGTTTGCTGTCCCTGCACTGTTCAATGTGCCACTCTTGTCAGGGAGGGTTGGAATTTCGCGAGCACTCTGTCAAAGCCCCAATGTTGTTGCTCTTTAGTCACTAAGTCGTGTCCGACTCTTTTGCAACTCCATGGACTGTAGCCCGCCAGGCTCCTCTGTCCGTGGGATTTCCCAGGTAAGCATCCTGGAGTGGGTTGCCATTTCCTTCTCTAAAAGTCCCAATAGGGAGCCTGAAAATCCCACATCAGGCACTGTGACTTCTTTCCTGGCTGAGAATGAACAATTAAAGCCTTTCCTTCCAGTAGGTGAGAGGCATTTGGAGGCAATGACCTCTACCCTGCACTTGGCTGGACGCCCTAGGTTGGCATCTCTGCCTGGCATCGCTCTGCCCTGCGAGGAAGGGCCCTTCCTGCCCCTGGCCTCACTGTACCTCAGTCTCCCCCTTCCCTGATCACTAAAGGAGCTCTGGGTATGCTGTGCTGATAGAAACTTGTCTGAATTGATAGGAAATTTTAACACAAAGAAGAAGCTGATGGAGCATTTCCAAGCACTTCCTGTTTGATGGAGAGGGGCCTTCCAGGGGCCCTTGTCCATTCATTTCTTTAGGAATCTGCACTTTAACAAATATTTATTGCACACCTACCCTATGACAAGCCCCAGGCTGCTTTCTACAGTGGCCCAGCCAGTGAATGAGGCTCCACTTTTCTTGAGATTCCAGAGGACAGAGAGTGAATCAGGAAGGGACATGGGAGCCGTCCGCTGTCCCTGGCCTCCTCCTCAGCCCCCGCTGGGGCCTCGGCCTGGGAATTGTGTGGAAAGCCAGCACAGTAAATTGATGGAAGCCACTGCCATAGAGCTGGTGGCTGCTGTGAGGCCAACTGGATGTATTAGGCAATATTAAAAATGCAGCTCTTTCTGATAATTTATTATTCACATTTCATAAACACATTATAGTCGTCACAGTACATTTACTAGCCCTGGGCCTGCCAGTGGGAAAAAGTTAACACTTACCTAATGATGTTATTTTGCAGATGTTAAATGCTCTTGGAGCTGTCATGATGAGCTAAATGGCTCAA